GGGAGGGGAGGAGGAAGGAAGGGAGGGAGGAAGGAAGGGAAGAAGGAAGGAAGAGCAGCACGAGGGGGGCAGGGGAAGTAGGAAGGATCAAGTATCCTAGGGAGAAGCTGGGATGGGCCCAACACTGCCACTTTCTTCAGCCTAAGACCGAAGGCCATGTCTGTCTAGGGCCACCTCATCCCTGGGTGTCATAGCCTGCTGTTCTCCAGGGCTGTGCTCTCTCTTAAGATGTAGGTCTATCAGGAAGCTCAGGAGCCCACTGGCTAGGAAAACCATCCTTGGAGAGAGGTGAATGGCCCCTGGGTAACGAAGGAGGATTAAGGCCTACGAACATCCAGGCCTGTACACTGGCCTACCTCTGTAGACTTCCCCACACTGATCCCCGTGAGTGTGGCCCCGGGCCCTGAAGGACAGCCAACCCACTCACACTCAGCCTTCCCTCACCCCCAGATACGTCAGGTAGAGCTAGCGATTCATTTCAGACCTGAAAGCAGTGTCTCTCCGTTCCAGTGGTCCCCTCCTGGACACCGTATTCCTCCCACCCCTACCTTGACACTGGTCACCCATGGTAACAAATGACAGTGATTGACTGTTGAAGCCCGGGTATTCCCCAACAGACCACCAGGAGGCAGCGTGCCCACCCCTGCACCCTGCCAACCCTCACCTGCTGACAGCTCTCTGGATCTCTAAGCATCTCTGTTTCAGCAACCGAAAGATGGCCAAGGCTCTGTTGGCTGTGGCACCCTTGGGTGTACAGGTGGATCTGTAACAAGGAAAATACCCAGGCTGGGAAGCAGCTCCCCAGCAAGGTCTTTCAGCTGAATAGTGGTATCTTTAGAGACCACTTATAACCAGAAAGGACAGGGCTGGGCTCAGGATACCCCAATAATGCTGGGGGTGGAGGCTGCAGAGGGGCACCAATTTCCCTGAGGGCTTCCACACCTTGTTCATCAGGACACAGGTAAAGCAGGGTCCGGCCCTGGTTGTAAAAGTCAGAGGTGGGGAAAGCCCAGCAGTCCAGTGGTCCCATAGTGGTGACAGAGATGGACCACAGGGAAAGACAGCCTGGGTCAACGGGGTAAAGGTCCATGTACCTGTATTACCTTGCTGAGAAGGGCACACTGCTCCCGCTGACTAGAGATGAGGCATCGCCACCTAAACCGCAGCTTTCCCATCAGCCATTGCACTAGCCGGAGATCCACAGGACTCTTCGTTTCCACAAAGGGTGTAGGAGGACCAGGACCGGTTAGGGCCTCACGGTAGAGAGAGAACAACAGTCAGCCTGCTATACAACCCATACCTCGAGGAAGGACCAGGACAGGCAAGCTGTACTACTAACATAGAATCAAGCCTCTACATCCTCAGCGGGGAAGCTGCATAAGAACCGCGGGCACCAAGGGCAAAAACCATGTGACCTGGGAGCGCAGAGAAACGCAAAGCAAAGCTCAGACACCCTCATTACATACTCACCTCACACTGGGGCAACTGGTCACCCAGCTGGACACGGGTCTGGGCAAGCAGTTGCTCAAGCAAAGGTCTTCGGGCCAGGAGCCAGGATAAGGCCAGCAGCAGTTCCCGGCTTCCCTGAGAACTGCCGTCGGGAAATTGTAGCAGCACAGACCTGGGGTAGCCTTGGGACTCCAGTGCTGACTTCACCACACGGACTTGGGCCTCTGGAGTGGGAAATCATCAGCTCAGGGGATGCTAACCTGGAGATTTCACCTGGATCCCTCTGGGAACGTGAGAGCACCCCTAAGCTTAGAACCTGCTAACGATGGACAAAGGAGGCAAGATCTGAGCGTCTGTGAGGAGGCAAGGTGATAACGGGCGGGCAGGATTTCTGTCAGTGGTTGGTTCAGGGTGTAGCCAGTCTCGGAGTTTCACTGGAGTGATCAAAGCCACTACTACCCAGGTAAGCGTGATAAAGGCTAGTGGGAACCTATACTTAAGGAAGTGGGCGCAACAGTGAGCCGAGCAAGTGCCCGCAGGAAGGGAGTAGACAACGGAGGAGCTTTAATGGGGCGGGAGTTAGTGGATTAAGACAAAACTACAAGAGCCTTGGGGCGTGGCTCTCTGAGAGGGCGGGGCTTACCTGGGGCAAGGTCTGTCCAGGTATTGTTTGCTGCAAGCGATGAGAGCACGCGCAAGAGAAGCTGCCAGAGCACTGGAGCCTGAAGCAAACAAGGAGTTGGTAGTCAACGGGTATCAAGGTGTTACCTACATCGGCCCAAGATAACGCCTGCCCCGCTCCCGATCGCCTACTCGGGTAGCCTCACCGCCTCTGGTCGATCGAACTTTGCGCGACGGAAGATTTCGGGGCTGGGCCCAGCTGGCAGGGACCGACTCAGCGCGGCGACAGCCTCAGGCAGAGCCCGGGCAGCCCCTTCCACCCGGCTCCGCCGTCGCCCCATACAGCCGGCACTAGACAGCCTCGGATCGCCCGCCCGGGACCACGACCAATCACAGTTCCGGCTGGAGCCCGCCTTCTCCGCTCAGGCCCAATGAGCGGCGACCCTGGCGTTTGAGTGGCTACTAGTCTATCCCGTAGGCAGGCACTTCCGGGGTCGGGGGCGGGGATTGGATTTGCCAACTCCGTTGGAACTCACCAATCAGCACCTCGACTTAGCAACCTCCTTAGCAACCTCGGACTCAAGCAGAGCGATGGTGGAGGGCGCGCATGCGCCCGAGGTGTTCCCTGGAGGCATGGAGGAAGGAGCAATGTGGCTCCACCCAGCCACGAAGGGAGTGTCTCTGCAAAACCACCCAGGAGCCCGCCGCCAGGGGTCGCCAGGCCCCCGCGAGAAGCAGCTGAGCCCTGCAAAGTGGGTGGGGAGTTCCGGGAGCCACGTCGCCAGAAGTCTTCTTCAGAAAGCCATTTTCCCTCTCAAGTACAGCCCCAGACTTCGTTGTCCCCATTTTCATTCTTCCTTCAGCCACTAGAAGAGCAGTTTTTAAGGAAAATTCTCCACTTTAGAAAAGGGCACGGCCCTCTATTTGAAGATTGAACTTAGTTTTGCACTCAGCCCTACAGGATCAACCTTGGTAAGCTGTGAGAATCCTGCAGGGGGATTCAAAGCAACTACATGACGATGACAATGGCAGAATGAACCCAGAGTCCAATCTGTTGCGCAGGGAAGGACGCTGCACCACATGCAGTCGGTAATTAGCCTCTGCAACCCGCATGAGCCTACTACGTGGCTACAACCTAGGTGAAGCCAGAGCAGCCTCTATGGGGAGCCGGATGCGAAAGACCACATTATGTGCTCCAGTGCGTGTGGAGGAGGGCCGGATAAAAGCCGGACGCTGCCTACGGAGATCAGAGACGAGCCTGCAGGCAATGAGTGGCAGGGAGAATTGTGGGGGCGAGACCTGTACGCTCGAGCGGACACAAACTAAGCTTTGTGCACCCGATGTCACCAGCAGAAATAGTTGGAGCAGCGTTCAGTACTGTGTGTACTCTACATCTCAATAAAGCCGGGAAAGAGGCAGGTGCAGAAAGAGGCAGGTGGAGAGGGAGAGGGTGCGGTGCGGAAAAGGAAAGTGCGGTGAGAGGGAGGGGCAGAGCTGTCCTTAGGCACCTGCCACTTTAACTGCGTCTGCAGGATGGCCACGCCCTCCGGAAGTGCGAGGACTCCAGGCTCACCTTTCCCTTGACCCTCCCAATGTTTTGCTGCAGACCTTCCTCTTCTCATCTGGATACCCTCAGCTATCCTGCTTCAAGGTCTCCTCCTTCCTGGCCCCTTACCAAGCAGCTAGAGCTGCTGATCCCAATGGCCACGCCCAGCTAGATTCTACCTCCCCTTACCGCCCTCACTGCAGGGCCGTGCTTCTGCACACCTTAAACGCTTCGAAGAGCCCTGAAAAGCACAAAGACCGTGCGCTCTTGGCTACCGTGCCAAGGAACTGATACACTCTAAGGGAACTCTTTGCCTCTCAAGGCTTCTTTGCAATACTATGCGCTTCCCCCACCTGACTTACTCATTCCTACAGGCTTCAGGTGGCTGAGCGAGCGTTCTCCCCAAGTCTACTCCAGTTGAGAGACATGGATCTGGGTTCGAGGGGCTGGGATTATTAGGAAGACAGGGACCTCAAGTGTGGAAGACAACGGGGAGAAGTGAACTTCTTCCCTTCACCCATGCAACTCTTCCAGATCCTCTGCAGGTCTGGTTGGACACTAAAGATACCCACACCCCTCCCAGTAGGAAACTAATACCGAAGGTCACTCTCTGCTACTCTATATTGTGGTCACTATGGCTTCCACCTACTGAGATTCCAGAATCACCCAATAACACACACACTACACTACAGACCACCTATGGGACTCACCCATAGCCTGTCAGCCTTGTTCCTGCAGTGTCGGTGCCAAAGATGAATACAGGCTAGGACAGGACACTGCTGAGACCTTTGTGGCTTTGTTAAGTCCAAAGGGTCTTGAATGGCCAGTGGCACCGGGGAAGGCAAAGCTGAGAGCTGCCTGGCTCTACATGAGTTTCCAGAAAGCCCTTTCTACTGCCACCCTCAAATCCCATTAGAGCACTAGGCCACCCAGGGCATTCCTGGCGGGGGAAGGGGGGGAGGTCTGGGTCCAGCCTGAGCAGCTGCAGAACTCACCCACAAGGGCGCACTTCTGGGGACAGGGCGGGATTGCAGGAAGTGAAAATGGAAAGGGTAAGAAATCCACACAACTCCCCCAAAGCCGCTCAAAAAGGGAACCAAACCAGCTCCCACTGATTCACCCTCTGAACCATGGCCAGACCCGCCTACTCCATGTTCCTGCTGACCCTGACAGCCAGGGCTTCACCCCAGGCCAGAACCACTACAGAACCAGGCTACAGGAACTTTCCGGATCCTGATGTTGGATGTAGGCCTGAACTGATGCCCCTTTCTCCCCTCAAAGGGTAGTGGGCACCCAGTCAGCAGCAACAGGAATAGCAGTGCCCTGCATTAGGCCTGGGGTTGAGGTACCCAGTGCAGCTCCCCTCCATCCTCACACCAGTAGACAAAAACACGGGCCTTCCAAAGATCAGGTTTATTAAAGGCACGGAGGGCTCCTGAGAGCCCTACTGTCCGTGGGGGGTAAGGCCTGGCATGTGCCTGGGCGGGAAGGGCGAGTTTCCACAGCCTGTAAGAAGAAACAAACAAACGTGAGGGTAACATTTTGTTGCTTTCTCTATCGGGAGGAGTCTATGCTGTAGCTTGGTGGGCTGCGTGGGGTTGGAGATGGGGCTATACCTCGGTCTACTTGAAAGTGTGGCTCTCAGCTCCACCTCGCCCAAAGCCTGCAATAAATAAATAAATAAATAAATAAATAGATATAGATTAAAAAATAAGGATACTGATATGTTGGGGAGGGAGGTCAGCTCTGGGAGGCCTGTTAGGGAAGAGGTCCAGCAACATACCTTTGGGCCCAAACATGGCCGAGTAGCAGGGATGATTGCAGTAGGGCTTGCCTTCATGCTACAAGGAAATGAACACAAGGGGTCACCTTCATCCCAGCTCCTATGGCTCCTCCCTCTGCCTCCTAGCGGGCCCCTTACCTCAGCATGACCCCCAGAGGTCAGTGTCTTTCCACATTTCTCACACTTCAGGCAGGGACGATGCCAGTCCTTGCCTAGTGACGTCACTCGCTCAGCTGCAGAAGCACAGACCCACTGTGAGACACTGGAGTCCCTGCATCCCCTCTCCCACTGCACAGACACCTACACTTCATTCTCTCAATGTGGTAGTCCACCCTGGGTCCCCAGACTTCCACCGTGCTCCACAGAGGAGGTACCTTTGATATTCTCAAGTCAATCCTACTTCACAAACCAGAAGGGTCTCCTTGTCGATGGGATATTTAATTTTAGTTTTTTGTTTTTGTTTTTCAGAAACAGGGTTTCTCTGTGTAGCCCTGATTGTCCTGGAACTCACTCTGTAGACCAGGCTGATCTTGAACTCACAAAGATGCTCCTGCCTCTGCCTCCTGAGACTAAAGTGCTGGGACTAAAGGCGTGGGCTACCTGGCCACCCAACCCGGCTAATTGGTGGGACATTGCTTGTAGGGCTGGAGAGGAGGAGGCCTTCAGACTTGGGAGTGGGGGAGAACATGTCTGGAGGATCTAAGGCTGGGTCGACCAGGTTAAAGTCCTCTGACCTCTTCACTGAACCTGGGCACACCCTTCTCAGCAGGGACGGGGGACCTCTTACTCATGCACTTTCTTGTAGGAGCTCTAGGGCGCGCGAACAGCAAGGAAATGAGCACCCCCGGACGTGGTTTCGGGCCGTCTGTTTCTACTTAGCATTGGGAGGGGCCACCCCAGTCCAGCGTTCCTTCCTATCCAGCAGGGACCCCACCCAGGGCGCACAGACAGAAGGCGGGAGAGACAGCAAGATCCAGAGGCCAGGGTCACAGAGATGGGGAGACCCAGAAGCACGGGAGTCACAGAGACCTGGAGACCCAGAGGCAAGGAAGCCAGAAGAGCGATCCAGAAACATAAGACAGCGAGTGGGGACAGATGTCGGTTCCGTTTAACACAAACTGTCCCACCCTCAAGCCGCGGGCAAGGTCTATGGGTTCGATCCCAGGCGATGCCCAGGACTCTAGACACTCCGCTCCTCCAGAACAGCCAACCCAGTACTGTCCGCCTCTGGACCGTGCTTCCGCGTACCGCCTGCTGTACGCCCGCGGGCATGTGGAAAAAAGCTGGGATACCCAAGCTTGCTCACCGAAATACACCTCCTTGTCGCACTTGGGGCACTTCGGCATGGTTGTACCTGGTCCTGCACAAGTGGCTGCAGCTACAAGGAAGTAGGTTGTAGGCTCTGGACTGGGTGGCGCCCGCCTGGTCCGCGCTTTTTAGGTACCCCGTGGCCCTGCCCTTTAAGGCCCCGCCCCGCCCCCGCCCCACCCCCTCAGTCAGGGACTTGGACCCCTGAGAATTCTGATCCAGGCCGACGGGCCAAGAATGGTCATCTGGTCCATGCTCGCCTCCGGCAAGATAAACTGGCCAAGGGCCACGCAGGGGTGCTGAGTCTTCTGGGACCCCTAAGGAGCCCAGCTGCTCCTGCAGACCCAGGCCACGCCCCCTGCCTGGGGCAGGGCAAGCCTCCGGTCCTGAATAGGGAACGTTGGGTCCTCCCCTCGGAGGATGAAGCGCCCTATTTAACGTCCTGCACCTGCGACAGCTAGCTGGAGCCCGGGTGGGCACAGGAAACGTCTAAAGTCCAGATAAAGTGGGGCGTGGTGTGATTGTCCGTCCTACTAAAACTGCTGAGGCCAATCTGGTCTCCAGGGTGAGACCCTGCTTCAAAACACACACACACACACACACACAAATAAAGCGCAGGGAGATGCAAATTTGCATTCAAGGATTCTGCATATATTTTGACTCTTTTCCCGGAAAGAGTTGAGGACATTCAGAGTCCCAGCCTT